AGACCCAGGTAGTCCGAGGCCGCCGGAATCAGCAGAAGAAATGTGCGTTGTCGCACTGTTCGCGACAGATTTGTTTTCTAGTTTAAAATCAGCATGATGGAGAGATGTTTGGACAAAATTGGTGACATGGGAAGGGTCGTCCAGGGGTGGGTTAGTGACCGGTGGTTGGCTCCGGCCAAGTTGGTGGCCGGAAATAGAGAAACCGGCAGTTTGCACATTTTTTGGTAGTGAACTTTGATTTGCGATTCCGGCTAGATTACTTGGAGTTAGGGGCAACTGTTTGGTGGTAATTGAAGAGGAGGTTATGCTCTTTCCACCGGTATCAATATCCGGTGGTTTAGGTGGAGGTGGCTTAGGGAGGGATAGGAGGAGAAGGGGGAGAGTTTTTATTTTTTATTTTTAATATTTTCATAAGTTTTGGACTGATTTGTATTTTAAAAAAGTTTAGGAGCAAATTGTAATTTATTCTTTATTTTTCCTTTATTTTCTTTTTTGTTTTATTTCAATTGGGGGGTATATCGATCATTTTATGTTAAAAATTAGGGAAAATGACGTTTTGCGCCAAAAAAATCAAAGGTAGGGACGTTTTGCGTCAAAAAATCAAACGTAGGGACGTTTTCCACAAACAGAGGCAAAGGTAGGGACGTTTTGCTCCAATTACCCATCTGGATATTATCTTAAAGAGAGACTCGTTAAAATAGATATATAACTTCAGTTAGTATGGAAAATATATCTTCAATATCTATAGAGAATTTTAGAGATATTAGTTACTACAATTCGTTGAATACATCACTCCTAAGTTTCTTTCATATAGTTTGAAGGAGTATTCGTCTAAGTGACATTCAAATATTGATAATTAATATATGTCTTAAAAGTATAGACATTAGTTTCATTTTAAATAATATGGAGTATAGCACCAGTTGTACTGCGCATATTATTCATTTTGAAGGTGAAATAGTCAATTGCATTTAATTTGCCCCAAGAAATTTTCAACGAAAAATAGGACTATTTGCATTAGTTTTATTTTTTGAAATGTGTGAATAGTGGTAGTGGTGGTGGACCGGTGGGTTTTCTTTTTTTAGAATATTCTTAGTTGAATTTGTGCTTAGGGTTTGGTGCAATAGTTAAAATTAATTTGATGATAATTTGACTAACTCAACAAAGTAGGAGCGGTGCACCTGTTTAAAATCTCGAGAATGCTTTCAATTTCTCTCTCAACGACCATTATATTCATTTTTATAATGTCCATGTTGAAATTGCACGCCTTAAAAGAAAAATAAAAGAATAATTATTAAGGGTGTGTTTGATGGATATTATTGAGAAAACATGTATTTTAAATAGTGATATGATGTAAAATATGTGATTAAAAAGTAATGAAAAGTTATTGATGTGATTAAAAATATTATTTTGTTGAAAAATATGTGGTTAAAAATGAGTTTTGAAAAAATATATATTAAAAGACTGTCTACCAAACAGGGGCTAAATAATACTAACAAAAATTTGAGACAAAATAGATTTAAAAGAGCGTCCACAAAATGAGTGAATAAGAGTTAAGTTATAAGTTGATCGAATGTGTGGATAAAAAGTGTGTTAAAACCAGTTTAAAATATAATATAAGCATAGCCAAACATGCACATGTTTACTTTTCTTTAATACAACGTATGAACATGTTGCTTAGATGGTAATTTGAATAAAATTCCAATCCAACTTTTTCTATAAAAAAATTGAGAACAAATTTCAAAATTAGTTTGGTTAAGCCTAAAATATTATCTAAATGAGATAAAAACAAATGATTTTTCTATTCATCCAGGGTTACATGGGCTAGGACGAATGCGTGTCCCCCTATTAGCTAGGGGTCTCCACACATGCGCCCCTTGAGTAATAGGGCCACAAATTGTGTACGACTTTCGAAGAGAGCAACAATATAATCTATTTTTAACAAATCATAACGCGACTAAAGGCAAACAAAGATTGATAAATATTATATATGAAGACGATATTGCTTAAATATTATAGCAAGACAACACGAAACATGCTTCACAAGAATTGTAATATTGAAGGCATTGATGTACAAGACACGATGACTCTATACAAAAATTTTCATTTATTGAAATCAGGAGGAGCGGTTATACTCTTTTTTTTAGCTCAAAATTTGTCCCATTAAATTTTCTCGACAATGTTTTAACGATGTAGATATTTTGTAATGTGTCATTGAAAGGAGAGTTTTGTAAATTATATGTTTATTAGGGTGTGTTTGAGTCACATTATTTTGAAAGAATGTATTTTGGAACAGTAAATTGATGGAGAATGTGTGGTTCAAAAAGAATGAAAAGTTATTGATGTGATGAAAAATATTATTTTATTAAAGAATATGTTGTTGAAAATAAGTAAAAGAATGAGAACGAAAATTTTAATGTGGCTCAAATATGAGCTTAATGAATGACCATTATATCATTACAGTCATAGTTATTATAACTATTGTATTCCTTGCAGACTTATTTCTTTTTATGAATATGAAACTTTAATTTTCAATAAAATACACACAAATCTATTTACTTCTGTACTTTTTTTTCGCCCGTCTCTCTTATTTTATAACAATATTTTTACTCGAGAATAAAAGAACCAAAAGGGTCAATCATGGTCGGTTTGGTTTGGTTTGGTCTAGTCCGATTAATTCCATTCCAATTCTCATCGTACCCAATTGTGTCCACCAACCTTAGTAATGATAAGACACGTTTGTCTTCCTTTTCAAAGAAATAATTTTTGAATAATGAATTTTTAAAGAATATGTGCAGATTTTTATTTTTGAGTTTACGTGTAAAATATTTTTATTGTTTGAACGTATAGTTGAAAATGAATTTGAGATAAGGGTCCGTTTGATTGTAAAGGTGGAAAGAAAATGTTTTACT